GGTGATTTTGGCCGGCCGTCTTTCCTGCAACGGCAGTTTAAACTGTATTTCCTCCGCACACTGAGCTCTGATTGGTCAGCAGGCGTGGTGCTTTCGCTGAGTTGATCTCTTATCCTGGAACCTATCCTGCTTCGGAGCACAGACTAGGTTCCAGGATAAGTCACCATGGAGATCTAGCCTGCTAAAAAGAGAACCAGCGTCGTAGGACCGGAAACCCCGAGTTTTCCCTGAAGTTAGCCGGCTAAGCGAGAATCCTGCTTCGTAGTATAGGCCCCAGGTCGCAGTTCCTTTACGTAAACAGATTTGTTGCCACACAATTTTGTGATTCTAGGACCTTGAGTCATCTTGAATAAGTCAAACCACTGATATCAGAAAAAACGGTATCTTCTAATCATTTATTTCAATATATGACATGAACTCTGTGTATGTACATTGTGCAATTCACAGATGGAAGAGCCATGTTATTTAAATCGCTGTATAAAAACTTTGTTTTTTCACAGAAAGCTTCAGAACAAATGTGTGTAAACAACAAACATCTAAATACAAAATTCAACCCTGAGGATGCCAGGCTCACTTTGACATGAAGCTGCAGCGGCCTTACAATGATAGAAACACATGTAAACGCTGGCCTCTCTTTTCACCTCTACTTTGTTTAAATAAGCCAACAAATGATGCTTCCATTGATATAAAAACACTGCTGGTGTCCTTGCTAATGCAGTTCCAATGGGGTCAGAGGTCAGGCTGGGGGGGGTCCCTCAGAGAGCCCAGGTCCTGCAGCTGCTGCTGCTGGGCGCTCTCCAGGTCCTCCAGCCGGCGGCGCAGCAGAGCCAGCTCCCTCTGGTGCTGCTCCTCCTGCAGGACACAGTGTGACGTCACTACAGCAGTTAGCCACATTAATGCCAACCCACACACAGTATTGCTATTAGGCAAGGGTCATTAATGGTGTTTCCTTTTCACTTAAGATTTTGAAAACAAGACACTGAAAAACTATTACTATGCTGCATTCTGTTTCACACTGAAGCTCTCCTGTAGTTTCCTGTTTGCTCGTCAACAGAATGCTTCAGTCTGACTTTATTCAATCATAGGACCTGTATCTCCATTTGATAGAAACAACTCATTTTCACTGGTCAGGACACGGCTGGGCGACAAGTATGACAGTGTTATAATTGAAAGCATTATGGTGGGCGGATTCATCGTTTCCCAAAGGGTGGAACTACATTTTTTGAGCTGCTTTTCATTTGGCGGAGCAGTTGTCTTTAAAGTAATGGACAAACGCGTAATAATTAACATGTAGGATATTGCAGTACTGTAGAACAATCATAATCACAGTTGTGAAAAACAGAACAAGAATAGTTCTACTCGAGCCAACAAACGGCTTTCATTAATATCATAATCAAAAGAGGTCTTTCCAAGAGAGAGATGGTCCATCATAAGTGTGTATATCTGTGTGTACCTTTGTGACTTGCTCATCATGGATAACCATAGACTGTGAGAGTCAGGACAACGTAGTTTCCTGTTTGCTGAGTGTTGATCTCAGAGTGTATTCATCACTGTAAGGGCGTGGGGACTTAAACAGTCAACCTCAACATGTGGCTTTGTTTGCGATATGTGATTGAAACAGAGATTTGTTCATGTCGTACTTCAGATGCTCTCCACCCTTTCCACCTCCGCCCACAGTGTTACTTTTTATTTGTTTGTGTGCGAGTAAAGAGAGAATCGAGATCCTAACACTTATAAACCCAACTTATACTGTAGTGGCATTGCATTCTGGTCTATTTCCTGTGTGTTAAAGGTGCTCTGAGCCTCGTACATTTTTACTTGGAGCTGTTTTTTCGTCCATGAACTGGCTGCGACTCAAAATGCTTACTGGGATGTTGGCCTGCTGGCCCTCAGTCCTGGGGAGGGGGGGGCTGGATGTGGAGGTCAGGAAGGCGTGGCCGGCGCTGTAGGGAGCATGGCCCCCCAATAGGAGGCGTCGAAACTCGTTGTGTCGACGCTGCAGCTCCTTCATCCGCCTGCTGAGCGGAGGCTGCTCCTCTGAGGAAGAGGAACGTCTGACAGAGAGGAAGAGGGGAGAACACACACACACACACACACACACACACACACACACACACACACACACACACACACACACACACACACACACACACACACACACACACACACACAGACGTACGCGACCGAACGACGACGACGGTAGG